AAGGCGACACGGCGGCGGAAGCGGCAGCAGCGAGTGGTGAGCTCGGATGAGGAAGGCGGCCGGGGGACGGACAGCAGCTTCGGGGTGGAGTTTTGTCACGTGCTGGACGTAATGATGCCGACAATCATGCCGGAGTGGGCGTGGACGTTCGGGCTTCTGAAAGCACAGAGACGGTTCATGGAGGGGCAGTCGTGGATGGGTGACGTCGAGCTTGGGCAGCGGATTAAAAACAACGGCTTGGTGGTCCTACTGGAACGGCTCTTCAGCGGAAAGCACCGCACGGAATGGGCGTCCGCCGGAATGTGGCTGCCGGGCTTTGGCAACGTCCGCGCTGCTGATTTTAACCGGGATCTGCGGCTGGAAGGCTTCCTGCGATGGTTTCCGTACTGGCGTCCGGCGTACGTTAAGTATCGGATATACGTCTCGGCGGACTTTCTAGGTGCGTTTGTGAATGAGCGCTCGAGCTCTGCGTTGGACGTCCAGCAGCTTCATCGATTCATGCTCCAGTCCGACATCGGTGCCGCGGATCGCGCTCGAAATAGGGGGACGCTTTGGGACTGGGGGCTACTGTATGAAGAGTTAGACGAGATGCGAGCGGTCATTCCGTTCCAGCTTGGTGTGTTCGCCAAAGCTGCTGGCGCTTTGGGCATGCTGCGCGGAAGTCCACTGTTCATTCCAGGAACGGTGGTAGACGCGCTCTCGATGCCGGGGCCGGAGCATCTACGGCCCGGGCCTTTATTAAGGCTTCTTAAGCGGGAGGGGTTAGCTTGGGTGGGGTTAACGGAGGAGATGCGCGAGATCAACGCGAGCACGCTGAACGCGCTGGCGAAGCTCACGAAAGAGAGCTGCGAAATGGAGAGGGAAGAGCCCAACGAGAATCCGAAGCCGTGGCCTGCGGACGGGATCGACGAAGCGGAGGTCGTGCGCCGCCAGCAAATGGCCGTCAGAGTCCGCGAAGCGCGAGATCCGGCGGAACGGGATGGGCGGAAGTCTGGGGAAGAGCCCATTGCAAAGCTGCAGGACGGTCTCGTGAAGTCGGCCGAGGCGAGAAGGTGCAGGAGCGTCTATGATTTTGGCACAGCAGGTTTTCGCTCCAAGATTCCTGACAACGTTGAGGCACACTCGTTGTTGACAGATGTCATCAATGACGTGCAGTCGACATGGGAAAACAAGGTCAGCGAAGCGTCGAGACGGATCGGATTCGGTAATATTTGATAGTCCAACGAAGGTAGCTTACACGGTCAGACCGTCGAACGGATCAAGGTGGTCGAATTCACGCGTGGCACGAGGCTTACGACTGACGGATTTCATTCGGCAAGTCGCAATCATGCACGCTGTTTAGGATAACGGTTGGCGCGTCCGCATCGTGTTGTAGAGATGATTGTTTATGCGAAATGAATGTTCATTTGGCGCGTTGGCATTGTCTTGTGGAATTGCTCGTTTATATGACTGGCGGATTGGACGAGGGTTCCTCAGACGTCTGAATTCGTATTGACCCGGTACTTCCTTCGTGCTTCACGTTGCAGGAGGAGATCGGCAAGTATGCAACAAATTTCGGCGGGGGGTGCGCAGGAGTACAACGGGAAGCGGATGTGGAAGACAGTAGGCAGCGCTTGAAGGAGAGACGGACAATATGCGTGAATTCCCAGACCGGAGAGATCTCTGGCGTTAGCACGACGGTCACAGGGCCCGTTTCGGTGGCTGCAACAATCCGCGACTTCGAATCGGGATTGCACCCGGAGCTGAAGCCCAGAGACGGGGACACATTCACATTCATCAGAACACCAGCGGATAGTTTCTGGGAGCCGCCGTGCAGGAAAGATATGGTCGACGCGGTAGTCCGCAACTTGGCAACGATAGAAGAGTTAGCTGCAAAGGCTAGTAGTCGTATGATGCTGGACAGGGCCCAACCCTTAGAGAAATAATAATAATGAGAGTTCGGTCTGAAATCGGCAGGCTCTAAAAACATATGATAAATTGGTTGTACGAACCTGTATACTCGAACTTGTCCTAGAATCCGTGCGCGCGCAGACGGCGTGTCTGCTTTCTGCCTTGCTAGATTCTACACAAGACTCGCGCGCGCTCTGGAACTCTGTTTATCTGCGAATTTCACGGACAAACTTACACGGGTTCATCTCGTGCTTGCGCATGCTATTGGTCGAACGGGACAACCCGACGAGCCGCGTCATGCCATGCATAATGCACGCCACTTAATGTCAACCGGCACGTGGTCTGATCGTCACTGATGAGCGTGGCTCGAAGCCGAGGGTGTCTCAAGCTGAGCTGCTGAGTCTGTCAATTTGGCAAATGAACTTCTCGATGTTCAATCTAGGATTCTTCCAGTCTGCGGATCGGCGCCTAGGTAGGAGAACGGGAGAGATGCAAGACATCACAACATACACCCAGTTTTTGGAATAAGGGCTCTCCCGTCTTTGTTTTATGACTGCTCCGTAGGTGAATATAGTTCCGCTTCGTGTTCCGTTTGTACCAGTGCAATATAGCTGCGCTTAGCGGGTGGGCGTTGCGCCGGTATCAGAGGTTAATCATGTCGTCGTCAGCCGCGTCCTTTCCTCAGCAGCTCATGCGGGATAAGGAGTACCGAAATTTGTCGAGGGTACCTGTGGAGGAGCAGG